TTGCTTAATATAGGGAAATTCAATGCCTAAGCTTCGAATGCTCATTTGTTTGTTTTTGTAATTGCTCTCTGCATATGGACTTGTTCGCCCTTGATCTGGCGGTCGCGTCGCTATTATTTCCTCTTTCCGCCTCATCCTGTCGCCAACTCCATTATATTTTCTTCCGACTTCTTCCTCGATCATCCACCAACTCCTAGCTGTTCCACTAACAATTCTTTGTTTCCCTCTTTCCGCCTCATTCCGTCGCCAACTGTAATATATTTTGTTTTTGTCTCATCCTCGATCCTCCTCGAACTCTTGCTCGCCCATAAGCTTTAAACGTTTGCGTCGCCATTCCACTAAAAATTATTCCTTTTCCTCTTTCCGCCTCATCCAATCGCCAACTGCAAGACATTTTGTTCCTGCTTCTTCATCGATCATCCTCGAACTCCTAGCTATTCCACTAACAATTTTTCGTTTACCTCTTTCCGCCTCATTCCGTCGCCAACTGTAATACATTTTGTTCTTGTTTCTTCCTCGCTTATCCTCGAACACTTGCACTGGAATTCCTTCCTATGTTTGCACTTTAGAGTTCATTTAGCAGTGGACCACCGACGTGAGTGTTGAATTGAGTGATAAATTGGTTAGCAAAAAGAGGGTGATTTCTTTCTCTCAGTGCACAGCTGCAAACCAACACAAAAGCCTCACTATAATATGTGCGCACTTTCTTGTATTTGTGTTAGTAAATGCCTGCTATAAGACGAATTTTAGCATCCCTGGGCGTGTTAGTTGCAGTGGCTATTTTACAAGATCGTTAAAAGGAATGACTTATACTAATATCTAATAATGCCAAAATTAATCAATATATATATACATACATACATACATATGTACATATCTTATATTTCGATATGCTCAGTCATACCTTTCAACGATCCTATAACATAGCCACTGTAACTAACCAGCCACAAACGCTAACCAATATGCCACATTTATTATACATATACTACTGGCGTGGCTTAAATGAGAAAACATGGCTTATACGCGGCTTAGCACACCGATAAGCTTCGTTCGCTGGGTAATTGTTTTTATGCCCCAGCCGCTACCCATTAAAATGCTGCCACACAAATTAGACTATAAATCGGCGCCAAAGTCCCTCGACAAGCGTCGAAAATCTCGGTAAATCCTCTCAACACGCCTGCATATGGAATTTTCGCGGTCGGCACGACATTTTAATTTAATTAAAAGCCAAAATGCCGGCTAACAATTTTTGGCCACTACCGACTATGGCTAGCTACACTGCCACCAACCATTTGTATTTTTCTTCATATTCGAGCATGAAATATGTATTACCAAATCAGGGGCACAGAACCCAAAAACGGTGCAGCGGAAACCACGAAAACCACACGCCGGAAAACTAAACACGGCCCAAACGCGATGAATGAACATGGCCAACAGCGTATAGTGAATGTTGCCAAAACGAACGTGACTAAAATCAGTTAAAATAAAATGGAAATAGCTGAATAAAAAACTGTAATAAATAATAAGTTTGTTTATTATTTGATTTTCACATAAAAAAGATATTAACAAAAATCTGTGTTGTTGGCCAAACACAGAAATGTTTAGTCTTTTTAACATAACACCAAAAGTATTTGTTTAAACAGGAAAATCGTATTTAAATTTCATTCATAAAAGTGGAAATTTATTTAAATTTTTTTTTGGAAAATTTTGTAATGTTAAGATTTTTCTCAAAAAAAAGCATGCAATAGCTTTTAAGTAGCCATTTGGACAACACGAATGTCGGCGGTTTAGTGGGTTAAGGTTGGGGGTGGAATGATCCACCGTCTGGACGTGGCACCTGCTAACTCGTTAGCGCTTAGCTGGCCAAATGATATGGCCAATATCAATATTGACATTAATTTGCGACTCAACTGGGTCGAGCTGGCGTTTTTCTCTTTTGGCTGTGGAGTGAAAGTGCTATGAGAAGTCCAAAAAGGGGAGGGAGGAGTAAAGGGCTTGTTGGAAAAATCCCGGGAAAATCAGGGATGTGGGGAGATGTGGCGGTAAAACCAGAAGGCGCTGGCCCATATCGTATATCATTGTGCTACCAAAAACTGCAGCAAGGAAAATGAAAAATGCCGCCGGCTGGGTTCTCGGAATGTTGCCACAGTTGCTGCTCCTCTTTTTAGCCCCCCTATTCACCCATTTTGCCTACATCAGTAATATATATAGATATATGTATATGTATGTGTGTATATATCTACATATATGGAAAAAAAACAGTCCATAACTCTGGGGCTCGACTTGTTTTTATTCTGTATTGTCTTTGACCAAAAAGAAAAGCATTCACTTTCATTAATATTATTAAGGGAGTAATGGTTGCCTTGCCAAAAACAGATTGGCAATCTGTATTTATAATTTTCTTATCCTAGAATAAAATCCATAGGTTAAAAACCTGAATTATCTTAATCGTGATGCCAATATACCCCGAACTAAATACGAATTAGGGTTATTGCCGGTGGGCGGTCGGGTCAGTGGCGAGGTTATTATCATGTTAAGACTGCAGCCAGCCATAAGTTAGCTGGCAAACCGCAGGCTCTCCCTTTCGTCCTGCCACCAGTCCCTGGACCTCTTTTTTCCTGGCTTCCAGGTTCCCTGCTGGGTTGCAAAGATTTATTTATCTGTTTGGTGGGCTCGGGCTCAGGCTCGCCGTTTTCCTACTTTCCTCCCTACTCTTTCTTCCTTCCTTATTTGCCAGCAAAAGCAAACGAAAAGCAAAAGCAGACAATGTGTCATCAGTGGGTCCCTTGGCATTTAAATATTTTGCCACCAAGTCATTAACATTATCACTGGCAAGAATGGCCAAAGAAAACAAGATGCTGAATTTTTGGTTGTATACATGAAAAAGCCAGGCAATATTCATAATAGCGCGGTTCATTAGGGTGTAATTTTGAATGTCGTTTGCATTTTGTGGCAGCAAGAAATATGCGCTCTGTTAGGTGCAACCTAATGGCCACTTAATAGCGTGTGCCCCTCTCCCACCCATTCGAGATATGCGAGTTTCGATTACGCTATTCTAGAAAACGTAAATGAACAAAATTCTATTTAAACATACATATATAAATACAGATCTACTATATACGTACATATATATATAACTGTTCTTGTTTATCATTTGTAAACAACATACAAAGTACAGCTAACGTTGGCTGCTGCTGCTGGCTCAGAGTAACGGGCCGCGACTGCAACAGTAAAACGAATAGAGAAGCTTACATTTCAGTGTTTACTATATCCCTCGCTTATTCTTATTTCTCTAAGAAATAGTCTCTAATTTCCTGCCAATACTCAACAACTTTTGAATATGTACATTCATTTAGCTGAAAACCCCAAAAACAGCCAAATGTGACGTCACCATCAAAATATACGCATTTTAGTAAACAACAGTGGACTGTACAAAGTACAGCTAATGTAAGCTGCTGCTGGCTCAGAGTAACGGGCCGCGACTGCAGCGCCAAACGAATAGACAAGTTTAAATTTCGCTTATTATTGTTTGATATTAATTAATTAGAGACAGTATTACTTTTCATAGGTTTCCCTAACCTTCCTTTCTTAGTTCGTGTTTAATTGATATTTAATTTCGTTTAAAATGATTCAAGTAAACAGAAAAGGAGGAGACAAAACGCATATGTAATGCCTTTTCTCTCGCCTCATCCCCTTTACATGTTGTTCTCTACATTTCATTCATATTTGCATTCCTAAATTACATTCACACATAATACTATTTCTAGTATTTATTTAACTTTAATCAAATGCATTGGCAAGAAAGCGAAAATATGAGTAAGAAAAAGCAAAACAAAACAAAGATCTTCGAAAGCTCTTTTGAGTTGTTATCCTCGTTCTCTCGCAACTGCGCTTCCAAATGAGTGGGAGGAAGAAAAACCAAGATATTTGGCAGCGCTGCTAACACCGTAACCCTCTCTTCTCCTATGGTCCGTGAAGTTCTCTCCAATTTTTCAGTCAGTTGTCAGTCGTGGAGAGGTGCGCACCTAGATTACGTCGTCTATTGAGTGTGATCTTCTTCTTTTAAAAGTGTTTAAGCTAAGCCGTGATCGCAAGTCAGTGTTTTGAATTGTGTTTAGAAAATATAGTGTTAAATTATTAGGTTTTTATGCAAAAATTCAAGTGATGCTTTGTTAGGTGAGTGTAACTGTATGTGAGTTATATATATATATTCTTATGTATGACGTACATATGTACTTATGTATGTGTGTAAGTGTATATAAGAGAAAGGCGAGGTGATGATGATGAAAAGCATTAAGAAATTTGAAAATTTTGGTATGTGACCCTAAGATATAATACTTTAAATTATATTTAAATATTTATCGATTACAACATACAAAGAATAAGCCTAATTCATATTTTTACATATTGATTACATGAATGCATTGCCGAAAAAGAGATATAAACATTTTAAAGGGGCGGGAAAGAGATGCAAAACGAAGATCTTTGCCAGCCCACTTTGTCCCCTTCTTCGTTTTTCGCTACTGCGCAATAAACTTTTTTTCAGTTCTTTCTGGTCATTCGTAAACAGTTGCGCTTGCAGATAACAGTTATGTGAGTATGGTTTTGGCTTTTGAATAGTCTTTAAAAGGTAAATGAAAAAAAGTGATCGCAGGTAAGTGTCTGGCATAATTTCGTTAAATATTCTTCTAATTCTTAATTTTTATATCTAGATGCAAGACGAAGATCTTTGGCAGCCCACTTTGTCCCCTCCTTCGTTTTTCGCTACTGCGCAATAAACTTTTTTTTTCGGTTCTTTCTGGTCATTCGTAAACAGTTGCGCTTGCAGATTACAGTTATGTGAGTATGGTTTTGGCTTTTGAATAGTCTTTGAAAGGTAAATGAAAAAAAGGGATCCCAGGTAAGTGTCTGGCATAATTTCGTTAAATATTCTTCTAATTCTTAATTTTTATATGTTTTATGCCCTAATGCAAATGGTTCTTCGTGGGACAAGTGCAAATATGTATGTATATGTGTGAGTGTATGAACAACATATGTACATAAGAAAGCTGAGAAATTGAAATGCGAAGTTCGGAAGTTCGAAAAGTGTGGAGAAAGAAATAGCAAAACCAATGAATCGCAATGAGACTATTGAATTATATGGAAAACTAGAGTAAGTGGTAAGGTATATTTATATCAAGAAATTGATTTTAAATATTTTACAAAACAAAACATTTCACTTATCGGTGTTTCAAAGTTTTTGGCCTTACAAATTTGGCTTGCCAAATGATTAAAATATAAGATTTAGTACGTAAATATGTATATAAGTAGACATAAACCTATAGTTATTTGGAGCAATTAATTTTAAATATTTTACAAAACAAAACATTTCAATTATCTGCGTTTCATAGTTTTTGGCCTTACAAATTTGGCTTGCCAAATGATTAAAATATAAGAATTAGTACGTAAAATTAATTTTAAATATTTTACGAAACAAAACATTTCAATAGCCGTTGTTTCCTAGTTTTTGGCACTAAAGGTTTGGCTTGCCAAACATACATAATTACAGTAAATACTTGTAAAAACATGACTTAAGCTAAGCATTATTTATTTTATATAATTTTACTACTAGGAATTCCTCTGAGTGTCTCCCCATCAGTTGACTCTATTATTTCTCGATGCTTGCCGTTGCCATAATTAAATTTACCTGCGCTTAGTTTGGCTTTTTGGTACCGTCCTTGTTCTTGCTGTTCTCCTTTTGGCTGCTGTTCATGATGTGGCTGTTGTGTCCATGTTGCCGTTGCCATTTTCCCATTTTTCCGTTTTCCCGCAACAATCAAGAAGCAGGTCAAAAAGGAACTTTTTCCCCATTCCTGGGGGGATCGTACGGGGGGGGGCTAGCACGAACTTGTGTTCATGTGTTGACAGATTCGTTGACATCGCTGCCCCCCGCCGTACACCCTCCATGCTTCTCGGTCATCTTCAATTTGCGTCGATTAATTTAATAAAAATTTGTGACATTTTCACTTGGCTGTTGGAGAGTTCCCCCCCCACACACCTTGTTGTTGTTCCTTTTATTTTTCTGTTTGCTTTGTTAGTTTTAATGCACTTAATAGATGGAATTTTTAATCTCGGCTTACATGCACACTAAATGAACTTTTGAATGTTTAATTGAAATTACAACACATACACACTCAGAGGGAAGAAGTTGGAAAAAAAAGAGAAATCCAGAATACATAATGACAAGGAAAATCGCTTTAAATTTGTTTTGTGAATTTAATATTTTTTAGTCAATTAATTATGCGGGTCGCGACGAACTGTTGGTATTAATTAGCATGCCACGCCCAGGCATTAGAACGCCCACAATTGTGTGTGTGTGCGCCATGGAATGTGAAATTAATCTGTCCTTTTTGGGTCTTAGACCAAGCGTAATTTCAGCTTTTCAATTACAATTCAATTTTGTAATTGATGCTTTTACTCTCTTATGAATAATATTGATTATTTTTCTAGAATTAATCTACATATTTCCTTGCTTATTTCTTGTTTCGAATGTTTATATCCTATTTAATATTCACTTGCTGTTTCTGAATATTTTTTCTTCCTTTTGTTTTTGCGAGTAAAAGTCTCGTTGCAAGCTGTTTCAGGCTATGGGATCGTAAAACAGATTGGCCAACGACATAATTCCGGACCAAACGGAATGGAACAGGGGCATATAATTGACGAGGACAACTGTGCCGTTTTATCCTCTGTGCCGCCTCTTGCTCTGAAGTTAAGGATCTCCCATCCTTCTCGCACCCCCTTCATTTGTAATCATTTGGGTGTTAAAATTTTTTGGCGCATTCATTGCTTATGTTCTGCCTTTCTTCTTCCCCATTTTTCTCCATCTCTTTCACTCCCTCGTCAAAAGCAATTGTTGTTGCTGTTTTTGGGTGACGCTGTTGTTTTTTTACAGCCTTCATAAATCTTAATTTTAGCGCATGCAAGGACAGGATTTAAACTGGCTAAAGGGCGGATATAAAGAGTGGGGGATGTTTGGGGGGTTTTGGGGTTTGGTGTTTGGTGTTTTTGGGCCATATCCCAGGGTCGTCGAAGAGTACAGGAGAATGGGTGGGGGTGGTTGGTTGTTGGTGTAAAAGTGGCAGTGGCAGGCTGTTGGCACATTGCTCGTTTTGAAGTTTTGAGCTGCACTTTTGACGTTACAAGCTGCCTCCCGCCAGCCTGGCACAAAACATTGGCCCAAACGAAGGGCTTTGGCATGGAGAAAAATTAGTGAATTGTTTTTCAAAATGCTAGATTAATTGATAGTAAAAGTTATTAAGGCTTCTGTTCGAGAAAGCAGTTACTTCTAGTCACCTCTTAACTCTTCTCATAAACGATCATTTAAGATATTTCTATGATTGAGTACTAAGTAATTAAGCAACTTTTCGGTGAGTGTATCAAGGGGTAGAGGAATGCAGCAGTCGACGGATGAGCTAACTGAAATTTGTCGCAGCAACTGAGGCGAAGGCATCCAGAAATGGCACAAGTTTTGGCGCGTTAAATTTAATGCCTTTGTTTTTGCCTTCAGGAAGCCTTCCCCCCACCCTCCAACCTCCTCATTTGAGAACTCCCCACTCGTCCGCTTCAGTGTGTGTGTGTGTGTGTGTGTGTGGGGAGTGTACAAGATGTGCCAAAAATTTGGTTATACTCCGCAAGTCGTAAGAATTGTGCTTCGGTTTTTGGGTCGCCCCCTTCTTTTTCCCTTTCCCTGGAGCTTGATCACACCCCTGCAATGACATTCAGCAAAAAAAAAAATGAAGAAGAAAACCACCCAGTATCACCCACCCACTCGATGCCCTCTGGCGTAAGCAAAACGCATTTTGAAAGCTTTTAGCTGTTAATGTGGCATAAATTTGTCTTTGTTGTTGTCTTCTCGGGCACTCTCCTTTTTTTTTCTGTTTTTTTGTTGTCTTCATTTTGTGGGCGGAAATTGAAATAAAAAGCAACAGCAGCGAAAAGAGCAAAACTTCAAGTGCCAGGGGCACTGGACCCCGTCCAGTTACGAAGAGCCCCCTTTCCTGTAAATGTCCTTCAGTCACACCGAAAAAATCAAGACATTTGATGTACTTTTGGTTAGTAAGAGACTTCTTATAGCTTTAATTATTATTTTTATATTATTTTGAAATATTTTCAAGACTAAATCAAGTTAGCATCAAAACTTATCCGATTTATTAACACTGATGAGGTGCTTTTCTAATATATTATACAACTTTCCGTTTCTTTTTTCTCTGCATGAGAAAAACCGTCCCCCGCCAAATCATTGGTGGAAAACCCCCCCACCGAAAGATCCAAAAGCTGCACAGCTGTGCTGGCAATTCAAATGTTTGTTGTATATAAATTTATTGATTTGCATTAAAATGAGGCAAGCGCTCGTAAAGTGTGTCATTTCGGTCAAAAGCAACAGGGGGTAAAGGCAACAAAAAGAAAGAAAGAAAGGAAAATGTTGGGGATGCTGAAGACATCAAGACTGGGACGACACATCACGTACCATCTCTCTCTTTTACTCTTCTGCTGCCATCTCACTTTCTCCAAATTGAGATGGATGACATGTCAATGAACTTGTAATGACTTGCAAGCCAAATTCTGTCATCCGGTTGCCGCAGACAAAAGCCTCGACTAATTTTCCACCGAAACGAATTTTGATTGCAGGCAAATTATAAAGTCGATACGATAGGGCAATGAATAATGATGTTGATGGGGGGATGCAGGAAGTTTATTTAAAAGAATTTGTTTTAGGTTTTTCACTTCCGCAAGAGCTTGCATGTCTAAGAATTATGACCAAGAAGTCAAGATAAGATAGCTTAACAAACAAATAGTTACCAATGAAAGGACATATTCAATTTACTTTTGATCAGAACAGAAATCCTGTAATTATCTTTGGCAATCAATTAGGGCCTTTCCAGGCCAATTGCCAGCCTTATTTGGAATCTGTACGGTTTGACGAATCGTTTAAATTGGCATCCGATTCGGTGACCATTGCATTTTTCGAACCGCGATAATGTGTCATTCAATTAACACATCGGCTGCTGGTTGCTGGCTGCTGGCTGGATGCTGGATGCCGCTTTTAAGTGCAAGTCGATTATGCTGTCAACAGCTTTGCGGTGGCCAAAAACCAAACAGCCAAGCGGCAAATCCATTGCAATCGTATATCCGAGTATATATACATATATATATCCAATTCCATGGCCAATTTTTCCAGCATCTGAATTGGTTTGGTTTGGGCAAATAAAACTGCCAACAGCTCTTTTTGCTCATTAATTTCATTTTTCATCGAGTCAACAATTAACCAATCGTCGTCGTCATCGTCGTCGATGCCCTCAATGGCCCTCATCAGTGTGGCAGGCTCGAGTTTTATTTATTCAATCAGTTGTAAGTTGCAAATTTCCTTGAAATCTCCAACTCAATGGGATGAATTTAAGGGATTTTCCCTACTTTAAACTCTCGTCTCGCTTTTTTTCAGTGTGGGTGTAGCTCTGTGTGTGTGTAGCTCTGTGTGTGTGTGTCTCTGTGTGTGTGTGCACATTTAATTATAGAATAATCTTTGATTTAATATGAAAATTGCATAAGGGGTTGGGCGGCGGTCTGTTTGGGGGCTCTCTCTTGATGGCGTGCTGGCCGCCGCGTTGCAAATTAATTAATTGCCGCCATATGCTAATTAAACACTCTTTTTGCCCAGCAATTTCACTCATTCCCCAACACCAACAAACACCTTCTGACCAGATACAAAAAGTTATCATCACATAGATATATATATACACAATATATATATACATATTTATATAGGAATAAATATTTATGTATATAGAGAGAGAGAGAGAGAGAGAGCAATGGCGAAAGTTTTTTGTGTGTTTTCCATGCATAATGCAAACCCATTCATGCGGCGGGGATTAAAGTGGCAACTAATTAATATGGAATTTCCCAGTAATTATATGGCCAAGCAGTGACTATCCTACATTGGCAATGACTTTTGTTAAGCCTGACACAGGATCCTCTTCTTTTTTAGGTTTTTTTTTGTGTAAGTAAATAACATTTTTAATGGGGCGGTTGGGGCTAGAAAAAGATCTATTAAGAGTCGGACTACCTAAGAGCCATTACTTAAATATCTTTTGGAAGAAAGTTAGTTAATAATTTCCCTTATCCAAACTTAAAAATCAACAAGTAGCCGATCGCTTTTGAGGTTTTCTTCCACGCAGGTGCAACTGTTTGGTTTTTTCCTGCCTTATGTCCCTTGGCAACATCGAAAAGTTGCGATACATTTCGGTATAGGCAACATGTAGATGGCCCAATGCGCATGAGCCTAACATATCCTGGCAACATGTTGCCGGATTCTATCGTTTCGGCGGAGGTTTTCTCGAGGCGCCGTCGCTTGTTTTGATTTGCGTTGCTTGTTTATGTTTTGCTCATCCTGACAGGTGGTTGTCGCACATGTATGAGTGTGTGTTGTGCGTGTGTGTGTGTGTGAGTTCTATGTGAGATGCATGTGTGAGTGAGTGCCGCAATATTTATGCACGGCAATTGCTCAATGTCGCCCAATGTCTGGCCCTCAAACCCAAACGAATCTAACCCCAGTTCCTAGTTTTACACGGCAAAATAAAGATTTGGATTTACATTTTATCGTAATAATGATTTTGAGCTGTGAAAGGAATCATTACCTTATTCGGTATTTAATAAAACATTGCTATCTAAGCCAAGATCTAAAGTTAGTAGATACCTAGAAATTGGCTTTTTCGCCCAGTGCAGATCCCATTCCCTAGTGGCTGTCGTATCTGCCAGCTTAATCCCATCGCGAGTCCGCTCTCTCTGGCATTCTCGCATTCCCGTCAAGCGTCAATTTATCATTCCTGGCTGGCATTTATGTGTTTGAGCTGTTTTGGAGCCGTTCTCTCCCTCCGCCCGTCCCCCCCCCACTTATAATTGTTTCTCTGTTTCTGTTCGCAATGGACGTGAGGGGATGCGGAGCTAGGGTTTATATTCAATTCGCGAAAAATATCCTTGGATATCTCTGGATACCTTTGGGTACTTCCCATGGGGAATCCAAAAATGTTGTTTAGCTTTTGTTTTTGTTACAGAGGTCTCCTCCTGTTTTTATTTTTTTTCTGCACATTCTCCACCTGTCGCTGTCACTTTCAATGGGGCTCCCGCATTGGCCGAGTGCCAGTTGACCAAGTTCGTTGTGCCCGATTTGGAGGCCCAAATCGGATCGGATCGTTGAAACTTTTGCGACGGACGACGGGCGACTGGCCGTCTGCCATGTAGAAGGGAACACACTATGCGAGTCCTGCGGCGATGCAGCATAATTCGCCCATGCAGTTACGTACGTATAAGCCGCTTAAGGACGAGGTGGGGCCTCGTCTCGTCTTCAGTTTGCCCGGCCCGCCTTCTGCTCCACTCCCCCCAAGCTTGACAATGTTGCCATATAAATCACTTTTCCATTCGCCTGTCCCACGCTTTTGCATAGATGCCAAAAGTACAGTTGTGTTCGCGGCGGGAAAGTTGCAAAGTAGAGAAATATGTTTTTGCAACGACAGAACCCTAAGCTCTTACGACGTACTGATTAGCAAATGTAACTTCTAAGGTCGTTAGTCTGCGCCAACTAGACTTCAAGAGTTCCAATTAAGATATCTTTTTTTTGCGGAGCGAAGAGGGATATAACTATGGAGATTATTTTAAATTGGATAGTTATGGAAAGTGTATGGTACTGTTTTAATAAGCTTGACAAGAAGTTAGATTATTTAATAATACAAAGGTTACATAATCACGCCTTGCCATTATCTTGCCACAGTTACTAATTGTAAATTCCTGTACTGCTAAAAGGTTTAGTTGAACTCTTTTTTTTGGTTATCTTGGATTAAGGCTTCGCTTAGGGGCTTCTTTCGCTCGATTGCTTTCACTGAAATGAGAGACCGACCCCTCCCTCGCTTGGGTCTATGGTCTTTTGTCCAGCATTCTGAGCTCTGAGTCTACAGCCATCATCCTTCATTCGAGTCCTAGACCTAGACCTGGGCTCCAAAACAAAGCCAAATCGTACACAAAGCCAATTGCCCGGCATCTGGCGGCTCACTCCCCCAATTTTCTACGCTGGTTACCGAGATGTTAGGCTAAAAGGGAACAAAACGAAGCCACGCACTTGTAGTTACAAAGCGGATACTCATTTAAGTTGATTCACCGCACCAACAACTGCACAAAGGATATGATGCTAGGACGCGAGGACGCGACGTCAGCCAATGACACTTTATGACAATTGCACTTGGCGGCTGCTCCTGATGAAGGGGGGGCATTGTACATACATACAAGTATACAACCCCTCACCCCCCATCCCTTGGTATATGTATATCCAAGCCAAGTTGGGGTCCTGCAAAACAGGGTCGGCTTTCTCCTTTGGGGCAGCCGCCGAACAAAGCAGCCAACGAGGACACAACAAGAACAAACAAGTGAAAATCATTCAGGGAAAACTGCCGTCTGCCAACTCCATCTCGAAAGGAAATCCGCGTACGCTGGGGAGCCCAGAAAACGCTACGCAAAATAAAACAAATAGAATAGGTATAACCTTGGGGTCTGGACTATTTGATACCTTGAATTTCTATTGTTGTTGGTTGTTTATCTTTGTTTATAATCTAAGCTTACGATTTTTCTGGCTGATTTCATAGAGATAATAAAATAAATGCTGACATTTTTTATTCCGAAAACTGGGCAATCGGAAGAATCATCCTATAACTTAGTCAAAACAAGCCGATCAGCTTAAAGACAGACTGTTTTGGGTAGCTAACGATCAGAACTTACTTCCCTATCATTTTTCGGCTGATACTCTTAAGAATCAACTTTTCAACTTTGAATTCAGATGTGTTAGGAATTCGAAAACAAGCTCAACGTGGTAATGGATGCCATATTCTGACCAATATTGGCTTAGTTATGGGAAGAATACTCTCATTTTGTGGGGGAAAATCTGGATAAAACCAATTCCGCATTTTTTATAAGGGGCAACATCATCTTTTTGTGAAAAATTGCAAAATTCTGACTTTTTAAAGTGTGAATAGAAGTTTGTGAGAAATTTAATTACGAACTCAACGATGTATGGCATTCCATAATCGGAACAATCTATCCTTAGCTATAGTTCAAATTTTAATCATTTTTGGGCCCAAAAACCTAACCATGAAAGGGGTTTGTGGCGGGAACTGGTTGACATTCAACAAATATCTACCGAAGCTAATATACCCCTGAAATCTACAACTAAAAGGTACGAGCAGAAAAACAAAAAGGAATCGTAAACAAAATGCCGGAAAAGGCAAAAAAACATGGCGACAAAGACGACGGCGGCGACTATAGCGGCGATGTGGCGATGGCTATGACGATGACTATGACTCCAAACCACGTGCTCCATATGCTGCACATGAGGCGAATGCGAATACGAATGCGGATACGGATACGGACACGGGCACGAGCAGGAGGACGAGGAGGTGAATCCTGGGGAAAAAGAGTGGGTATACTGGATACTGGAGATGTAGAGATGTGGAGATGAGAGCGGCACGACGTCGCCGTGATAATGACTTTTTGTCTCTGCTCGAATGTCACTTGATGTTTGTGGGCCCTTCGCTTCCTGGCTACACTTGAAGAATTGAATTGAGTAACCTGAAGATTTCCATACTTGTTATATTATCTTAATCAAAAGATAACTTAGTTTAGATGGATATATATTTTTTGTTAAACAAATTATTTGACTTTCAAAAGGCATTTTGTTTTGAACTTTTCCTAGCAAGTTTTCTCTGAGTGCCGTGTTTTCCTGGTCTTTGTTACTTTAGTGGCTGTTGCCTTTGTTGTCGCAGTTTTCGTTTTTATGCCTCGAGGTCATTCAAGTTCAACCCGCTGCAGCCGCCTTCTGATTAATTGGCCATGAGGAAGTGAGTCTGCTGGCAAAGCAAAGCAAGCACCACCGGCGCAAGGAGGTCCAGAAAAGCATAGAGTAGGCTGGGAAAATCAGGAAAAGTTGGCGTTTCGTTAAATGTCACAGGCAGTTAAGGTTTTCATTCCCATACCAGACTCATAACGACGTAGACCGGCCTCCGAGTCGGTCACAAAATTTTTCTACACTTTCTACACTTTTTGGTTTTTCTCCTCTCCCCCACCCAAAAAAAAAAAAGTGAAAAAATTTAAAAAAAAAAATAAAATAGAAGGTACATGGTTGAAGTTCGCCAACCATGCCTTACAAGATTCGGACACTGCCGCAACAGCGTAGTTTGGTACCCAATCTGCTACGATCTATTCTACACGTCCTGGAGGAAACCCGTCGACCCATGACCGACACGGAGCTGTACTTCGTCCTGGGTAACCAGTATAAGCGCAACGATACAGACTTCTATCGTCAGGTCAAACTCTATCTGAACGATGCCGTGGAATATGGCATACTGAAGCGTCAAAGGAACCTCTTCTCCCTGCGCTCTCGTCGTCTGGGCGAACTGTTAGGCGCTCTAGGACCTACGACGACACACCGCTGATTGGGCACCCTATACTGACCACTTAACTCTACGCGATGGGATCAGAACACTCCAAGAACAAGAAAAGAAAAGCATTAAGCCCGAAACTTTACTTTAAAGATGTTGAAATACACTGAATAAGATTCAGTTTTGAGAATTATTTTAGGGAAGGTTAAGAGGGAAGGATGTTCTATGACAGTCTTCTAAAACTGATTCAGATTCTTCTTGTTCTTCAAATTCGCCATCGTGAAGCTACCAACAATCGTATATACTTTTCAGCTTTGTATGTATTTAATTGCCTTTGATATTCAGGTGGCACTAGCCATTAATTTACATTTGGGCGGCCATGAAGTGTGGGTGTGGCAGCGATTTTGTCACACCAGATTGGCCCTCTGGTGGCAAACGCGTTTTGTGGCAAATATTTGCGGTTATCTAAATGAAATGCGTGGCGGTAGCAACCACAGTGGTGCGGTGTGTGGATGCTAGGTGGTGGATATGTTTGCATTGCACCGCGAAATATGCAATTAAATCATAAATTAAGCGGTAAAAATCAAACATTATCCAAGGGGCAGCAGTGGCGGTGTTCAAATTTCGAGGAGAAATGCTTAATTTTTGATCTGATTTTGTTGAATTTGTTGCCATAGCCTACTATTTTCCCCAGGGCCATGAGTCTTTTTTTGGTTGCCTATGCAAATGCCATTATGAACTATGAATTATGAATATTTATGCGAGATGTGTGTGTGTGTGTGTCTGCCAGAGTGTGTGTGTGTATGTGTACAGATGCATATGCAGTTTTTCAATTGTTCTGCAATTGCCGATAGTCGCGAACCTCGCAATGAAATCCTAATTTAGTTTCCATCGAATTGATTAGATCAAATGTTTCACGGCTTTTGAATGGTATTTGTTTGAATTTGTTAGAAAATAATTGGGAATCAGTTAGCCTTCCTGATTTATAAATATTTGTAATACCCATCAAGAAAAATAATCATAAAATTTCTAATGAGAAGAAAACGTCTGTTAAATGTTCACTGAAAGTAGATGAGGCTGGCCTGAGTTGGTAATAGATTAGTTTCATATTCATGGTGTATTTTTTAGCAAAGATATTAACATTCGCAACATAGGCTCAAATTCTTTGGGTAAGTCTTAAGGAACTCCATGTCTTCAAAGTTAAAAACAGATCATTGAAGTCAAAGATAAGCTAGGCTAGAGGGTCCCAAGATTTAATATTTATTTTAATATGTATTTATAGGAAAAGTAAAACTAGTTTTATAGATACTATTTTATTTTATTTTGTTGATAAAAAAAACCAAACTTTCCGTAGGATCTCTTAAGTCCATTTATTGTACAGAGTTCAAGGCAAGTTCCAATGTCAACGAGTTTTAATTCTTGATATCACTCTTAATCTATGGTAGCTCTTAGTTTCTTTGGTTTGGCCATGAAAAAAAAGATAGATTTAGTAAATTACATAAATAACTTTCAAGCTAAGTAACCAGACAACCCGCAAATAAGGTAGATGACCAATGATGAAGGTTTTAGATTCCAGCGCAGAAATTGAGAGTAGACAAATATATTCCAGAGAAACGAAGTATCTCCATGTGGGTGGTCCATAAAATCCCAGTGCTAGCAGTCCAAAAAAAAAAGAGAAAAACAAAAGCAGAGAAGTATTTGGTCACCAGAGCTGTCAGACTGGCAGCGATCACAGTAGGGCAAACTTATGTTAACTTCACTTATTCTAAGACGCCCACATTGCATTGGCGGCTTGCAAGTCGTTGTAAACATTTCGGGTTATAGGGCAAATATACCCCTCAGCTTATAGAATATATAAAAAACATATAGACACTTACCTTGATTTCCTGGTTGCCGTAGTCCATTCATGGTATAATAGGAATCCTCATATATATCTAGTGTCAAACGTCATCAAAAATCACAAATATGGATTTTCGAAAAAAAATCCATGATGCACTGCATCCTCCTGGAGTCCAGGTACCAGCAATACCATTGGAGCACCTTTGGACTACTTCCAAACACTTTACTTGCACTAACACACTCACCATGAAATGACTTGACTGATTTATGGGCTGTCCGAAGAGCCTAAGTCCCTACTTTGCTGCTAAAAGCAGTTGAGAATTATTGGTACCCTCGAGTGAGCAAAAATTTCACATGGAGTTGACATGAAATTTACATGAATTTACATTCGCCTAATATTTTACATTTAAGTTTACATTTTCTTTGCCGTTGACATTTAAATTTGGCGATCTTGTTCTATATGGATGTGAACCTTAAAAAACGTTAAAATTCAAATTAATTTTTTAATTTTTCCATAAAGTTTTGGGTAATATAAAAGCCCATTTTCTTGGCTGATCTTTCAGAATACTGAAAAATAAGTTGTCTTTCCTTACATAGAGCTATATATTGACTTAACTTTCTTATAGATGAGAATTGAGATTATGCAAAAAAAGATGATCAAAAATACAAAATCTGATTTATTTTCATTTCCACCCGCAAAAAAAGGTGTTTTGGCCATATCATAGCCAAAAAAGAGCCCATTTTGGAATGGTCATGACATGGTCGAAGTATATAATGTAATGGCATGACAATATCGATTCCCTTCTGAATCACAAATTCATGAATCGTCCCCAATGTTGGGTGCCATTCGAATGGGAATAATTGATTATGCGGCCGACTTCTTGATGAGGCTATACGGCCGACCGGTTATTATTATTTTAGCTGCTGCTCTTGTAATTGCAAACGGAAGCGGAAATGCTCGTCAGCCATAAATTTGCTTAGCTCTAAAAGCGAAAAAAAAAACTAAAATAGATAGCAATAGATAGGAAAACCGCAGACAGAGACAGCTGGGGGCATCCTGAAACCCGGTAAATAAATTATGCATTAAAGGCCATTGCGTTGATGATTTATGCAGGAGCTCAGAAACCAGTGGCAACAAGGAAAATAGAAAAAAAGAGAAGGAAAAGCTTAGAGCCGCAGTTAATAAACTCTCCCAACTCCGACACAATGGTGACCATGGTGAACACGAAAAAAAAACACACACACAAACACTTGCAACTTGAAGCTGTTGCAAGTTCAAGAAGGGGCAGAGGCCATCGCAGGCTGATGGTACGGGGTTCAAGAGCTTCAGACTTGGACTTGGAACCTTTAACCTGGCTGGTACCCTACCAAAGCTGGCCAGGAAAAGGAGCCAACACTCTCGGCACTTGTAAATTTCTTATAAGAAAAAAATCAGAGGGGAAAAGTCTTGCTTTGATGGTTGACTTTTAGAATACCTTTAAATTGTTGTTATTTTGAAATGATTTTGTTTTTAGTTTAAACAAGGTGATTAAAGCAGGTTTCTACTATTATTTTAGAGGCTTAAATATTGCAATTTGTTTGTTTAGTTTTGCAGGCTTAAATGTAATTGAGAACGTGACATTAACAATATTTTCTAAATGTGACAAACAAAAAAACTTAATAATCAAAAACTGTTTAAGCAATATAAATTTACCTTTTGGTTGGGATATTTTTTGTAATAGTAAAAGCTTAACTCTTAAACTTAATCAGAATACTCTCTTATTTTCACCAATTTCTTGCCATAAAAAGCCAAATCTTTAAGTTTACAAAGTTTAGATACCTTTTGTTAGGGCATAAAACGTAGCGACCACAAAACATATGAGCAAAAGTTGCCAAGTTGTTGCAAGTTGTGTTGGCTGGAGTGCTGCTATTGTTGTTGCTGCTGGCAGGCAGGAGGCAGGCACGCACAATTAAATCAAATTACCTCGAGTGCACTTGGCGCTTTTTCACAGTCTCAGTGTGTTGTTCCTAGGATTTGGCTTGGAAGGAATCGGGTTCTGGGCCCTGCAATTAAGCTTTGTGTCGAGTGTCAGACTTTGTTTTGGGTGCTTTGTGTGCAGCCATCACTGTCCGCGCCCGAGCCCCTACCAAAATGAACTTCCTTCGAAAAGGATGCCAAGTCAGTCAGTGAATTGCTTCCGGCCTTGGTCACTGAACTTGCCATGTCATTTCTAATACTAATTTTATGACTTCTTACATCGTAATTACGATTATTATTTGGACATCAACTAATCCCATCCAGTTGAGATTATCCTACTATCTGTCAGGCGTTGTTGCGTGGCAACAAAGTTAACCACTCGATGGTTTGGGTGGAAGTTTTGTGGATTATTCGATTAGGTGCGCACCCGCACGCATATGCCCTGAAAACCAGATTGAAATTGCATCGGTTTTTGAGTGAAACGAGAGGGGGAGTGGTGTTGGGTCTTTAATTGAAATCGCAGATCAGCCGGGCGGACAATGCAGCAGCGGAAACAAGAGCGGTAAAACAAAAAAAAAAAGGGAAAAGCAAAGAAAGAAATGCGCAAAAAACAGGAACTCGATTCGGAGCACACGCCAGGGAATCAAGTTGACATATTCATATGGGGGGCGCAGGACGACTTCCTCCAACCTCCATACTCCATCCTCCGAAAAGGACAAAAGGCGAACAATATGCGACGCTGATGACAGAGTGACAGGGCAAAGGAAAAGAACAGCAGCAGGAGCTGCAGCAGCAGCAACAGCACGGCAGGATCACGAGGAAGCGGCGATGAAAGAAGCATTACGACAACTGAATATGCTCCCCCGGAATCCCCGGGGTATAAGACTATGAAACAAGAGGGATGAGGAATTGGGAGGACAGGACCCGGACACGGACACTCACTTGGAGTTCAGGACTCAGAATGGAAGACTTCAGAGGACACGTTAAAAAATCAAATAGAGGAGTAGCTATAGGTTATAGTTTTTCTATCATCTTTTTGAATTTGCATTATTTGAGACTACAAAGTCCAGTGGAGAAAGTTAGAGTATAGCTGCCTTAAAATATATATCTTTTTAGCCGATATATATATACAGTATATTATTTCTCTCTCTGCATTGCCCTCATGCCAGCATGTGGCTATGAAAACCTCAAAATGTGAAAACCGAAATTAAATTTACATCAAAAAGGAGCGAAAAGGACAACAGGGGCCGGGCAAGAGCAACATGTGAGGGGTGGTGTGCATTGCAGGGGGTGTAAATGGGTCTTTCCCTCTATAAATGTGTGTGTGTGGGGGGGTGTGGGTGTATGGCCATTGTAATTTTATTAGGTGAGAAATGTGCGAGGGCGGGTGTCGTGGTGTCAGGGCAGGCATTACACTGCAAGGCAAATAAATAAGGAAAATATGGTCAGACGATGCCACTGGCTTGCTCCTCACTCGCTCACTGCGTATACGTTTCCGTTTTCCATTTTCCGTTTCCGGTCCTTCATTCCATTCCATGCTGTTCCACGTTAAGTTCCATTTCGGTTCATTTCTGTCCAGCCCGGGGGCGCCACATTAAATTAGTTCTGACACGTAAATGCGTTTAGCAGCAGGCCAGAGTTCTTTTTGGCCTCCTCCCTTGCTGCTAGATGGGTGTCTGCCCTTGTTTCTGTCTTGACTTTGTGGGGGGTTTGGGTGGTTGGGTGGTTGGTTGGGTGGCTGGTTGGCACACCTCCCCTAATGAAAACTTTATCAGAAGGAAGGGGGGTAGGCATTCCAGGCATTTTGTAGCATAATTTTAGCCTGTCACTCTACGCTCCACTGAAATATGCGAATAAATTACACAAACACCAGCCAAAGGCCGACGAATGCACACAATTTATGGGCCAACTTGAAAGCAAAGTGTGTGCAATTAACCTGAAATTAAATGATTGTTATTATTGGTCTGATTGTATGTATAGGCCAGGTGTTTAAGGGTATGGCTTACGGGGTTAATTTGCTAATTGGGTGGTCATTTCGGAGGAAGGAAGTGCTGGTTGTTTCATTGGGGAGTTGGGAAAACTTTCCCCCCCTCGATTGGCTTATTTTATTAGTTAATATTGGGTATTTATTTATTACCAAATTAGCGGGCTTTTATTTTGTTTTTATTATTTTTATTATAGGTTTGTTCTTCGATATGCGCTTCTCTTTATTGTTTTCCCTTTCACTAGCTGTTGTTATTCATCTAAGTTGTTTTTATATTCTGCACCTTTTCGCTTCTTACTTGAGTCTCATTACTTGCTAACTCATTAGTTGTACTCACTTTTCAAAGCTCTATTGTTTGGCAGAAAAACAGGAGTCCTGTTGGTCTTCCTCTAACCCTTTTCCGCTATCTCCTTCTGCTAAAGAAAAACCACCTTCAGAAAGCAGCCAAGGAGGAGCTGCTGCATCATCAGCTAATCTAGCCTGCGTGTGCGGGGTTACTCCAAGATATTTTGGTAGCAATAGCATTCCATTGACACGCAAAATTCTGGCCAGAGAATAGTCCGTTTGAAGAAGGATCCTGAAGGATCAAGAAGCAGCCTGTGAACTATTAACATTTAAACTCAGCACCGTTGGCACACATGCCTAGGCGTTAGGTTCACGCTCCTCTTCATGCAATGCTATGACAAATGGCCAGCCAGCTCATCCTGCCAACAGCAATGGAACTCGAAGTCCTTGCCGTGCACTGTGAGAAATCAGTTAAGAGATATATGTCTTATATGCTATATGAAACTGAATTCATACAAAACAGTGGAATTCTTGTGGATTTTAAAGCCTTTTAAAAAAGTTCTTCTTTCGATTTAACCACCTTCAAGACTTTAAAGACTTTGACTTTCATCTCAGTGCAAATTTGCGACAATGGGATTCCTGAGCCAGCGATGAGCAGAGATATTTATGAATCACACGAGCTCAGTAAATCATCGCCCTGCTGGGCGGGTTAAGTTCCTTGGCTGCTCACATTCCTGGTCCTGGCCTTCAGTTGTGACTGCCTGCCTGCCTGCCTGCCTGCCTGCTGCTGCTGCTGCTGTTGCTGCTCCTCCGTTTGGAAAAAGAGCCGGCGTTGAAGCAACAAACTTTTGACAGGACTCTCCGGCATATCGAAGAGCCTGATCCCTGACTGGCGGCAGCAAAATACAATTATGACAGGACCCGGAGTTGCAGCATGCAAATAAGTTGATGACCATATATACGGTAGACAAAGCTGGGTTTGAGGGTGACGCCAGTTCGGGCTCCTCCTTCTCGGTGCTCCAGTTCCAGTCCGAGGCCTGGATGTGCGTCACTGAGATTCGTTGAATGTAAGCTGGTTAGTTGGCTGTTTTCTAGCTAAAATTTGAATGTTTTAAAGGGCTAGAAATCAGATAGCTAGATTTTTCTTTATCTTTGTTAATGGATTAACTTTTAAAACGAAATCAAAGGATTTAAGGGAGTCTTTATCAAGGGTTAACACTTTCATCTATATGATAATGTTTGCTATTTGTTAGCCTTTTTGGATTCTCTATAGTTGCCAGCACAGATGCACGACTCTTGGAGATGGAGGAGGCAGTTCAGGGCTCAAAGGAGCAGTGCGTCGCCATGCTGATTACCAGGCCATACCCCCGGGCCACTCTGTCCACTGTTTACCCATTTCATCAGCAGCAGCAGCAACAGCAGCAGCAACAGCAAAGCAGCAACAACAGCATCACATTTATGCCCCAATGCAACCACCCACCCAATCCCACCCGTTGCTTGCTTGGCGCCACTTTGTCGCGACGCTTTTTATAATTGAAGCAAATTGTTAGTTGAGTTGGCATTCACTCGTCGTCCTCCTTCTCTTCGTCAGTGTGTCTCCCTCTTTCCGCCCACTTCTTTTCATCTTTGCCATGGCTGCTGCTGCTGCTGTTGTTGTTGTTGTTATTGTCCTTGCATTCTGGGAGATGGCATCCACCATCCTCCAGCCTTTCAGCCTTCAACCATCATCCTCCTTTCTGGCCTCGCATTGTCGCATTCCAATTACAAAACAATCATGATGAGCTCTAGATACTCGCCACTCTGCACACAATAGCTAGTTAACTGAACAGATCCGAACAACCGCCGACTGAGAGAGTGACTGACTGAATGACAGAATGAACAAACTGACTGAATGACAGACTGAGAAATGGATGGACGACTGACTGACTAGGGCTGTATGCTTAAATTGATAAACACAAAGTTGAATGCAAAAATTTAATGGCCAAGCCAACAATCTCAAAATGGCAATGGAAAGTTAGATCGTTAAAAGAAGATAATTTCAGGCACAGGGGAAAATGGCAAATGGAATACAAAGTTGGCAAATGAATGGATGGAGTTAAAGATGAAGAACTTTATAATATGAAAGGCTTGGTCTTCTTAGTATTCATAAATGGGAAAAGCATGGCAAGATTAACCATAATAAAGAGAACGAGATTCGAGATAAACTACAATTTTATTTATCCAATTGCTTTCAATTACAAAGCGCTGAACCAGGAAAACTCGATTTTATATGTTTGTTTGTTTGTTTGTCGGAACGCAAAAGGCAACATCAGGCAACGAAACATCCTCTGGAGGCAGCATTCCGGCAAAGGGCCGTCCCCATTGGGTTCTCATATATATATATATACATATATATTTATATATATACGATTTATATCTATATATATATATATACATTTGTCAACGTGACCTCATTGGCGGGCCGTGGATATCGTATATCGTTAGCTGATCAAGGATCACGTATATCTCACTGGTCCGTCGGACATAGTTCACGTACAGTAAAACCATTTCTTCAGAGTTCGTCGTCGGCGGCGGCACAGAACTCGTGGCTCTGGGGAGGGGGGCGGCGGGGCAAGTGCAACTCACAGGACTACAGGGGGTCACAGCCGCGAGCACTGTGCTAGCTCAAGTATAAAAGATATGAAGCCGAAGGATACTAAAAGCGAATTATATGCAGATGCAGATGCCGATGAGGAATGTGTAGGATGTGCAGGATGTGCAGGATGCGGAATGCAGAATGCGGGATGCAAAAATATAGTCGCTGTAGTAGGAATGTACTTCGATAATGCGCGGATGCTGGCACACACGGTTCGCATCCGGAATGGGTCTCTCTTTCGCTCTCTCTCTCTCCCTGTATATATATATATAAATATATATAAACTAACGCTTACGCCATGATAATGGCTCCTTCTCTAGCTCCTTGGCTCGCTTGGCGGCCTCCTGATTACGTTTCATGATCTCCACCTGTTCCATATCGGATACTAACGAATAGCGATTACCCTCCTTCTTCAGAAAACCATTATTCACAGCCGAATGCAGGGTATGGGGTACATGACGCTTCAGTTCCACTTCAGGACGTTGAAGTCTTATTGCCAGGGTATTTATAATCTCCGGATAGCTTACGGATCGCGAAAGTTCCCTTATCAGTGAGATGACTGCGATGAACAAATCCGGAAGTGGCTGCTTGCGCCAACGAACATTCTGTTTCATCATGCTGTTGGTAAAAAGCTGCTCGGGCGGCTGTTGGTTTTGAGCTGGAAAATCGTAGTTCGGTAGATGTGGTGTTGGCAATAGTGGTTGGGAAACTGCTGGATGCAATGGTAGCTCAACCGCCTGGAGTAGGGAACCCAAGCCCAGCATTGAGGGTGTGAATACAGCTGCTTCGGCATTGAGACGAAACTCTGGCTTAGGCAAAATTTCATCATTATAATGGGTCTCCACTTTGTCAGGCATCGTATAGACAGTGGCGTCGGCATTTAGATTAGAATTGGCCGCCTTTAACATAACGGAAGGGGAGGGTTTAATGGTTACCAGAAGGTCCTTGTCCTTCTCATCTTTCGTTGATGAAGTTTGTTGTTTAGCCTCCAAATGTGAATCCCCTTCGTCAGTATTGCTAGCGGTTTCCAGACTGCATCGACCCTTGACATTCAAAGAATCACCATCTTCCTGGCCAGGTTCATGGACATATTCGACCTCACCTTGGATTCCTGTTGATCCAGCAAGTCCAGTCCCAGATCCATGTCCCTGTCCCAGATTGCTGTTGGTGCTGGTGTGGCTGGTATTGCTGCTGGTGCTATTGCAGCTGCTACTGCTGCTGGTGCTATTGCTGCTGCTACTGCTGCTGCTTTCCAGATTTCCACCCAGATCCAGATCAAGATCCAGACCACCAAAACACAAGCCCCGACCCATATGCATTGGGCGGGTTAGGTTGTGCGGCTTCGGGCCAAAACCGAGATTAAGATTCAGGCTTAGTTGGTTCTGAAGATGCTGGCGGAGCTGAGTTAATTGATTCAAATGATTGAGCTGATTCAATTGATTCAACTGGCTTAATTGGTTAAGTTGGTGGTTCAGATGATGATGATGATGCTGCGCCTGCTGCTGTGGCCCACGAAGTGCACCGCCCAATTTCTGGCCCAGTATTAGACTGTGACGAGCGGCCAATGTCTGCTGGGACAGATCACCGAGTTTCAAATGCATATCCTCCATTGGTCCGTCGTCTTTTGCCAGGATATTACTGCGTCAGAATGCGTACGATTTCTACGATGAGAGTTTATATCAGCTGATTTGTTATTTGTTTTGACTGGACGGCGCTTTTGTTTGATTTCGGCTCCGGGTATTATTTCTATATAGTTGTTGATATTATATATGATGATTGTTACCGAGATTATAATTAAGTTTATTTTTGCGTAACGGCTTCGTTGGGCTTTATATTCTTGTTAACTACGGTCTGGAGGAAAACCGGGAAAGGGAGGCAGTCTTTACAGTTAGGACCAACAACCCAACAGAAGAACACGATACAGATACGTTAATTTACAACAGTTTTTTGTGTGCTGCCGAAAGAGAAATTTTGCCGATCGAATGAAGGGTGTATGTGTTATGTATATATCTATAGAAGGCTCGAAGTGAAGTAATCTGAAAGTTTAAATCCCTGCCTACTGTTTAGTCTTGGGTGACTTAGTTTTTATGATGAGTAGAAAGTCGTATTTACTATCATCAACTAACTATCTTACCGAGCATCTTGTTAGATACAATATCATAATTTCAAATTTCTATAACTCAAAACTCAAATGGGCGTGTGCCGCCTATAGAAGAAGTCCCACAATGCCAAATTTAGTTCTTTGCCCCAAAAAAAACAGGGAAACCTCAATGTCTCTTATGGGGTGGAAAACGCAGCCTCAATATGTAGAGTACATAAATAAAAAAAAAAAGAGAAGAAGAAGGAAAACGAGGGAAAACCTCAACAACTGAAGGGCATAACAATTTTGGGATCCAAGCTTTTCGGTTGGGTCGCCTTTTTAGTAGACCCAAAAAAAAAAAAGGATGACTTTGCCGCGGGCCAAAAACAAGCCAAATCCGTTTATCCAGAAAGCATGTAAAACAATATGCCACCGAGGAGAAGGTCCCAAAGTTATGCGATAAACAAATGAAAAAGAAGGGGCATGCCCCCGAGTTTGTTTTTGGCCTTTGTGATGAGGTGCGAAAAATCACAAGAATTGGATTTCATTCTTGAATTATGGCCAATCTCGATTGAGGGTTTTAACTTGTTTTCCCTTTTTGGTGGCAGTCTGTCTGGGTTTCTGGTGGTTTTTTGGCAATTGGATTGCACTAATTTGGTGGCAGGGCCGGCTTAGAAGGGATAATCCTCCGACATTAGTGAGAGCGACCCTTCAATGAATAACCAGTTTTGTATCGTCGTCGTTGGGTGTTAATGTGCCACGTCACTTCTCCATCATTTCTCTTGACGCGGCTTCACAGTGTTGGGTAATTTCACAATTTTCAAATTACACACCGCAAAATCTCATTTAGCTGAGTAAAGCCAGTTGACTGGACTAAACTCTCTGGGTCCAGACTGCACAGCATTCACCACACACTCACAAACACACACACACCTACACATCCACACAAATTACTAAATGAGTTGCCCCGAGGGTGGAGTTTGCAGTAAGGGAGGAGAGGGCGGTTGTAGGGAGTTTTGTGAGTTTGCCTGGAGGATGTGGATGGATGTGTGGGGATGCGGAGTCGGTGGTGCTGCATCATTGTAATGTGCTCGCCTCACGCTCGCTTGCCCCATTCAACGGGCGTGAAAACAACGCACTCGTAGCTGGGAACCTAGGACCTCTCACAGCTTCGACGAGCTCCGAGCTCTCTCTTCCAGTCCAAACAGGTATTATCACACATGAAAACGGGGGGGGCAAGGGAGTGCAGACGTACATATGGCCAAGGACATAAGCGTGACTAAACCCCAAGCGCAGTGACTTCCGCCTCCTTTTGAGGGGTCGAAATGGAATGAATGGGTTGGCTGGGTGATGGGAATGGCATGGGATGGAGGAGCTTGGCCGCATCCTGTTTGGAGCCTTTAAATGCCAGTTGGTGTCGCAACAATCAGTGAACTCACACAATCGGTAACCCTCTTGGAAATTAAGAGCTATATATATGAATTCGACTAGGGATGTGGTGGAAAGCAAGGATTGATTTCGATTGTATATATCGGTTTGATATCGGTTTATCGAAATAATCATTCACTTTTCTAAGATATCGATAGTAAAAAGAAAAACTGAATTCATGGATTTAAGATTATTAATATTTTAAGAAATGAAAATGGTTTTAGAATTTATAAAATATGTACCTTAAAGGTACATTCTTAGTACCCTGTACCATCCCTAGTCAGACGATATATACTGCACCTATATATATATATAGCTCGTCCAGTAGTAGGGTAGGCATTCATTTGCGCCCGAAGCTGACACCACATCAAACACAAAGGACGCGATTGAGGTCGCCCGTCTTAGTCAACGTATCCTTGTTGATATGACCGCAAGCTCAAGGCTCTCAAATGCCAGCATCACACCTCAGAGGAGGGGTTGGGTTGGGTTGCAAACCCATTGGCCGTTGGACATTGGACATTGGACATTGGCAATTCTGCCTTCGAGTTGCATTTCAATTAGCCCGTTTAGCTGCTGGCAAGGAGTGTCGAGTAGGCAATGAGGAGGCGGCCCCCCAATGCAGTTGACACACAAATCGCCTGGGATCCGGGGGGATTGCGTTCGCCACACGTCGATCCGCTTGAAGGAGTGGACTTTACGGTCCACACCGGCCATCAGGCCATACGACAGCCGTTTGTGGACTTAAGTCAGTCGCCCGACCCCTGCCATTGGATCTGCAACACTAATTGGGGATTACTTGAGAGGAATTATGCTCTACAGGAAAGATGTGAACTCTTGAGGTTATTTAGTTATAGATTAAAATTTTCATTTATTAAAATACTTTTGGACCCCTTTCTTTGATCAATTTGTTTGCCTTTCCGGCTCAGTAGTAGTTACCCTTTTGTCAGTCTGAGCATTGATGGTTGAGCCTTCTTGATTCCGATGACGACTGTGATCCTCTATGGCCGTGTTAGTTCCACTCGAGATCCTTTCCTGCATCCGATGATGATGGTGATGATGATGTTGTGCAGTGGTGGTGGCGATCGATGAGCTAGCTTCGTGCTGATCCGGTTGATTGGGATAATCGTTGGGGTCCAGGCGACTGGGGACTATAGAGTAACGATAGTTCTTCACTCGCAAATAGCCATAGATTAGGGCATCGTTGAGGCTAACTATGATCTGGCGTTTTAGCTCCTCATCGTTGCGATCCAATCGATCGGCGACGGCCTCCATGATCTCGTGTTCGGTCAGGGGATGATCAGCATCGGCAATCACCTGCAGGATGTTGCTAAATAGATTCGGGATTAGCTGACGTCGCGGTGCCCGGTTATAGCTGCTGTGCAACATCCTGCCCGTCCGATTTGGATCCTTGATTTCTGGATACGGAATCCAAAACTGATACGATATTTGGCCTTGTCAAATGTGACAAATAAAGCTCAGATCTATCTAGGGATTAAAGCTTTCATTTTAAAGAAAGTCTCTAGCCTTTGTTTGTGGCAACACATCGTTTTCCCAAAATCCTCTTTTCGGTTGTTAATTAAAGAGTCGCTCTTGGGTAAACCAAAACTTTGTTTTCCTGCGAGCCCGAAAAGTTCACCTTTCTGTGGTTTCCATTTCAATTCGATTGTCTTTCTCTACCTCTTGATATCTCTTGTCTGTGTGTGGTCTGGGTATCGAAATTCAGGCTTTAAAAAGTTTACTTAAAAGTTAAAGAAGTGGAAGTGCTATAGGTTTTCTATATATAAAATCTGTTATCGTTTCTCTTTTATATTTTATAGCTACTTTCACTTTCAGGCGTCAAAGCAAAAGCAAAGTGAAATCTTAGCAAGTGATTTCAGAGCATTAACAATGAATTGTTTTAAATGTAATTAAAGTTTTATAATTGCTAGGGACTTGAAATTGTTTCCTAGTAATGGTTAATACATAAAGGCAGAGCAAGTATCTTGAAGTCGCAACCACCGACTTTGGTACTTTCCGTCGAGACAGAGTCAGTTAGTCAGAGGTTGGAAGGCCAAGGCAAGATTCTAGGCAGGGGTCAGACAGGCAGGCTGTCTGAATATCGATTTACAGTTAAATTTTGCTACTGCTACTGCTGCTGCTGTTGCTGCTGATGCGGATGCGAATGCGAATGCGAATGCGGATGTTGGTTGACTATAGGCAAGAGTGTGTATGGGGTAATCAAGTACAAAATGCGAGGGGAGAGTTGTGGCAAGTTGAGCCGATGACGCCATAGATAGAAAAGAAGAAGGAACTGCGACAGGCGCTTCAAATTTGCATGGCATCCGGCGAGGAGGGGCAGAGGGGGCCATCGCATCATTGTTAGTGTAATTTGTTGTTATTGTTGTTCTTGCTGTTGTTGTGTCTGGCACGTGTCGCAAGGAATTTTCGATATCAGAACAATTTTTATGTATTGCTATGGCCATGGCTAGGGTTTGGCTGGCTGAGCATGTGGGCAATGGCATAACACAATAACCGCAACACGATTGAAATCTCCACAATTGCAAAATCGCATTTATCTGGCCGCGAGGGTTGGCTGATGAGTTTTGCATTTGCAAAATCTGCAAAATCTCCTTTCAGGCATCTAACTCAAAGTGCTATGGATTCCTAATTACGCCATCAGATGCGCGGCGAAGGCTGTCAGCAGCAGGTACAAAGTACACTGTAGAAAATATCACCAAAATGTTTCTCTAACTTGGAAAGAGTAGAAAACAAGCAATAGATTCTACCTCTTATTGGGATTTATATAGATATAGATATATAGATATAGATAGATATATCCCCCCAGTGCATACATAAACTGGAACCCAATCACCATCTCCACACCGCTCCTTAGCTCTGCTGTCAAGCTTGATTAGCAACTTTGAGCAGCTGTGGAACGAAGCTAACTTTTGTTTCACATCCATTTCGGTTTCATATTATATTTGCCACCAACTCTAGCTTCAACTCCAACTCGAACTCTTAACTCCAATGCCAAAGCTAAAACTCAACTCAAAGCTGAAGCTGCAACTGAGTGTTAATTATGACTGACAGCGTTGGCAAGCGCTACACATTTCAGTACTTGGACACCACCCAACCATTTCTAGCCTTACAAAATCCACTCACCCACGTCCAGTGGTGGCCGCAAGTTAGACTAATCCGGCGCCAGTGATTAGGCCAGGCTCCAAATGCGACTAGTAACAATTAAAGCCAGCCAGTTGCGACTGGGAAAGTTTTGGCCCCCTAAAAATCTCATCATCTATGGGCGTACACCGGGAAAAAATTTAGAAATTTAGAAATTTAAACTTGTAATAGGTTTTAAGATGGGAAATATTTGATTAGTAATATTTTTCAGAGACTACATAAAGTTTTTCCAGATTAAAATGTTAAATTTTTTTCTCATTCGTAGCTTAGACTATATTTTTCTCAGTGCACTTCTCATTCATGCAATTAACTGAAACTTTTATGCTCCATTTGGGAGAAGGGGAGTAATGCAAGAATTATGACTCGGAATCAGGCGAGCAGCAGCGCACACATGGAAAATAATTTATTTTACGATTAGCGGTCAACGATATAGCATCCACCCTACCCCCCGCTACCACGCCCTATCCTTCTTTCTATTGCTGTCCAACGATGCGTATAAGTGACGGGGCGTCATACGCCCGCTGGTCGGTCGGTCGGTCGGTCGGTGAATAAGTGCTATATAGTGGGCTATATAGTAACTGGACACTGTGTCCATAGCGGAATAGCGGCGACACTGGCGTCAGCAATTCCATTCACCAGCGGAAGTTTTGCCATTTCAAAAGCGACTGGCAATAAACTGTACAGTGAGTTATCGATGCAAGGGAGAGGACAGCTGGAGATAATTCTAGCCAATGATAAAGTCAGAGTTTCCATTGATAAATGGGCTAGTTTGGTTAGTTCGTTCTAACCTTGTGCTGCATAACAGTTTTACCTAGCCAAAGACGTTTATGACACTTTGAAATCTCTGATTTATCTCAGTTAATTGGAAGCTTCTTAAGACGAAATAATTATTGATAAATTGATGTAACTTTCTTCTTCAGAGGAAAGTGCTAAACACTTTCCAGTTTTTCCCAGTCGATTAGGGACTTTTATGAGCATATAATTTTCCCTACCAAAAAGAAAAATAAAACCATGACATAAGTGGAAAAATATTTGCAAATAAAGGCAGGCGAATCGTAAACATGACGCATACTTTTCGCCAAGTTCTTTTCTGGCCGGTGAAAAGGATACCCAAGTTGGCTCCTAAACTTTGGCCCCCAATTGCCTTTCTTCAGTAAGTAGTTAAGTTAATTTTCAGTGGGCTAACAGTTTCGCGCGCGGGTAGGTGAAAGTACGTATAAAAGTGAAAGTGAAAGTGAGCCAAGGACAGGGGCGGCACAACACTCAAATAATAATAATAACAATCTTCGAGGGGGCAAAATCTTAATGGCAACGCTAAGCGGAAAAGTTTTTATGATTTTTATTAGTTTTGTCTCGCGATGGGATGCCAAAACAAATGGCCAGTCTCCCAGTCGTAATATATATTGGCATCCGGGGATTGGATTGGATTGGATTGAGTGGAGTGAAGTTCTAAGGGGGAGGGGGTTCTGTGGCATCCCAGCATCGATTTGCCTTGTCGTTTTTTCCTGGTTGAGATTTATCAACGCCACACGCGATGGACAAGTTGCTGGATTTCCTTTTTTGGCTGCATGTCGATATATGGATATATGGTTGGTTGGTTGGATGGTTGGTTGGTTGGTTGGTCAACTGTCGATAGGGAGTCCACCCGGTCCACCCTCGAGGCGTTGCTAATCTAATTTGCAGTTATTGGCGGGCCAGATTAGCACTCACGCACTCAAGGCGGCCGCACATGTGTGTGTAATGCGTATCGCGTGTGCGAAGATTCCGTTCCGAATTGCCTATAATTTGGCACGAAGTGCAGTTGGAAAAATGTTGAGACATTTTTTTTAAATTTAATTTATAAAAATTGTATTTTTCTTTTTGTAATTTGGTAACTTATTGCAATAATGTTTTGGAAAGATAAAAATTTGCTTTTGAAAGTGCAAATTGTGTTAAAACTTTCTTAAAATAAAAGAAAAATCATTTTCTGAATAAGTAGTTGGGAATTATAAGCCAACTTCTTTTAAGTTTTTAGCTAGAAAAGAGTTGGAAATTATAAGTTAGTGCCTCAGCATAAAGAAAGATCTTTTAAAAGCAGAAAGACACTTTTATTCTTCAAATATTTAACCAATTAAAGTAAATTTTTATACATTTAACATAATAGTTACTCGTTTTCCGCTCAGTGTATCAGCTACAATGTGAAGCAGAAGGACATATTACCATCTCAGGGCTGTGGATTTCGGGACTCAGCCACAGCCTGGCTCTCATACACACACGAACACACATTAGTCGAAGCTGTGCAAGTGCAAAACATAATGAAAATGATGTCAGTTTGATAAGATTTCGCCATAGGGCATGTGTGTGGGTTGGTGGGTGTTTGGTGAGGTTGTGCGATATTCGTGTATCGCTGCCATTGCCATTGTTGGTGCCGAAAGTGTGAGTGAGCTTTCTATGTGCGCCGCTCGCATGTTATGAGAAAAGTTTCGCCGCTTAAAGATGTTTCGATGGAAAACTTGGGCCCACACCACCACCATCACCGCACCGCACCGCATGCTCTCTCTTTCTCCAGCAGAAACCAACCAACGAAATGTGTTGTTTGCATGCACATTGCAAATGTATCATCACATTTGTTTTTCGGTTGAGTTTTAGCGGTGAACAAATCCCATTGAAAATAGTTTGTATGCCAGTTGGTAATAAGAAAATTGGACAATAAAACAATTTTTGTCATTCGTGTGAAACAGTTTATTAGAGTTGCGATTTTAGTTTCTGTAGGTAACTTTGGTTTATGGGTAATCAGATTTATATATATTGTAAGTTCAACCTTATGCTTAGTCAGCTTAAAAAGAGGATTAATATCGAATAGTCATTAGGGGAAGCTGTGCGGGCAGTAGAGTGCTTAATCAAAATGCTGGAATTCCAATGAAAACAGACAGCTGCTTAGTAAGTGCATTCAAGCTGAGCTGCATAAATTACTTGTCTGTTTTTGCTTATCCAACGGCCATTATCTATACCCGGCTATAGCAGTTTATTTTGGTAATATCTGTCTGGCTAACAACAACAACCCCAAAAACACAATGGTTAATAGGTTTAGTAGTAGAAGGAATCGACCTCACACCTCCCGATCCTTTGGCAAGTCCTGCAGCCAAACACTCAAAACACGTCCAATCAGTCGGACCCTTGGTTGTTGCTGTTGTTGCTGCTGTTGTTGCTGTTGTTGCTGTTGTACCATGTTGCATGTTGCTGCTGTGCAATTTCGCCATTGTTGCTCCTGTTAGGAGGACACATTGTCAGGCTGGCAGCAGCT